CTGCAGGTGGTGAGCCCACAGGAGGAAAGCCCCTTATGAATAGTAAAAGTCATTGTGCCCATATTGTTGCAGATACTCTGCTAAGCTGGCTGACCAGTGCGGACGGTGGGCAAGACGGACGTGCGATGGAGTCAGCGCAGGCGTGAAGATGCGCGGCCGATCGGCACGGATGCCACATGCGCAGCTGGAAGAACTGCCGACGGTGAGTACTGCTAATTCCTAGCATGGCAGACCCCACAACTGAGAAGTGCTTCCACTATTTGCTCTGCACATTCCCACTGTGCACGCATGCATGACCAACACCTGTGCATGTGTGTGTCTGTGTTGCAGGTCAGAGCTGATGCCACCAAGAGCACATTATGCATAAATTCCTTCTGTAATACTTTTGAAATATGTCTGTAACCTTTTAAATCTACTACTTTTTAAGAAATAAAAACACTTCAAAGTTGTAATCCTTTGAGCATGTATTGATTCAGCACTTAGACATGGAGAGGCATATTTTGAGGCAACAGAGTTGCGGTATTTGGCCAAATAGTCACAATACACAATGGCAGCGGGAGCCTTGAGGTGTTTTATTATAAAACTTAACAGGCTGTCACTGGGAGGCCACAGCTCGCTGTGGCTGGCCCTGGCAGTCTCCATACGTGCAGGAAACTTGAACTTAACAGGCTGTCACTGGGAGGCCACAGCTCGCTGTGGCTGGGCCCGGGCAATACATGCAGGGAACTTAAACTTAACAGGTTGTCAATGTTACATTATTCAAAACAAGAACTGTAACACTTTGAGTATAGTGTTTGGACAAATCCTACACAGACAGGAGAAAAACAAAGATATACTCTTAAAGGAAAATAGCATTGTAGTCAGAGAGAGACACTTGCAATGGCATCTACACATCAAGACAACTCCAAGGAGATGGCCCGGCGCTCTCTATGACCTTCTCATCCTCTTCTATTGGCTGCTGCTGCTACTGCTACTGAGGACTTCTGTGGACTGTGGCTTGTGGTAAGTACTGTTATTGCACAACATTACTGTCATCTTGCATGTGGTCAGTTTCCATACGAAAGTATGGAACACTGAAAACATGCATATACAAACATTCATTGTAGTATGTGTGATTATCTGTTAACTCACTACACTGACATGTTACATACTTTCCCGTCGTCTATTTATTCCCTAAAAAAAATGAGGATCTGACAAACAGCGCTCCCTTGAGGCTTTAAAAGCTTGTAAAAAACCTTGGGCCCGGGCCTCCACATAGCAGTCTGTCTGTTCCCAGACATGACCTATCTGTCACATGCTGTGTCCCCAATCTGTTTATTCCTCCAAAAAGGTCTAAGTGCAGACCCAAGGTCCATGGCACTTGTTGGGTAAAATTATTAACAAGGCATACTTTAAGGTTGATTCTAATATTTTATGAATTAAAAACTTAATTAGTAGAAGATTAACATTATGCTTGTTGAGTAGTCAACC